CACACATATTTGAGTACTGTATTTTTCGGACTATAAGTTGCTTTTTTTCATGGTTTGGGTGGCCCTGTGACTTATACTCCGGTGTGACTTATATATTAAAATTTTCAGATAGACAGCCACGAGAGGGCGCTCTAGGATTGTGTGTCAATATCTAGTACTACTATTACTCCTGTACCACTGTCACTTCGCACTCTACTGCGCACGCATGTCTTCTATAGAAAAAGCCGCTGTCTCACTGCAAATAGTGAAATATGCAGCTGAAAATGGTAATTGAGCAGCAGAAAGAAAGTTTGGAGTGAGCGAGAAACTTGTGAGGGACTGGCGGAAAGCGGGGATGGAGGACACAGCTTCATGACAACCGGGCGGGTGTGCCATGTAACTTTCCTGGAACTCACTAGATGAATCGACATAGCCTGAACTTCAGTAACAACCGAAACCATCCTGTTGGGATTCAGAAAGGCTGAACTAATTCTAACTGGAACTGATGCTGAGTCTGACGACAGCTAAGCCGAAGAGGAAGCGGTGCATCATGGATCTATGGTTTATCTCGGGAGGTCACGCAAAAGGGACACCAAGGATGAAGAATTCAATGGATTTAGTGATTTGGAGTGATATTGTGAGTTTGGTAAACTGTAAAACAGCTCTGGGTCTCTTCCCCCTGAGCATCTCCACTCCATCCTCTCCGAGTACCTCCCAGAGCATCTTAGTTCTGAGTCTCTGTCCTAAAACATTTGAGCTCTCAGTATTTATACAAAAATGCAAGTAACATACATATCAAAGCAGAATGACTTTTTGTTTCACAGTATGGTGCTCATCAACTTAATAAACATTTGAGGACTGGTAAAACAGCAAAGGGTTTCCTCAGGGTGAGAACAGTTGTATCTGCTGAGCCTTTACACATGTTAATGACTGATCTGGTCTCAGGTAGAAACACATTCATTTACAAAAAGACAGACTGAAAGAAATCTTTCCACAATATACATTTCCATCACAAGTGTGTGTGTGTGTGTGTGTGTGTGTGTGTGTGTGTGTGTGTGTGTGTGTGTGTGTATGTTTTTAAGACAGCTTTTGCCTTTACTTTAATACAGATTGGCAATTCCAGGGCTGAAATTATCTTTTTTTTTTCTAGTGAAGTTGTATGGAGTTAAAAACACAGTGGAGCGCAGAGTTTTTTCAGTTTGAAAGAAGAACCCAGCCTAAATATGCAAGCTTTGTGTGTTAAACATGCATGATTGAAACAAAACACAACTCCAAGTATGTTTATGGTGAGGAAACAACATTATAACATAATGTATTTATGGGCCTTTAAATAAAGCCATTCAAATAAATTAAGCCGGTGTTGTTTCTTGCACCTCTTGTTATCAATAGTTAGCCTTATTCTGAAAAGATTCAATGTGAATTCTGTAAACTTTTATAATTGCAGTAATGATAATGATTCATTTTATTTGATGGCACCTTTCCTGACACCCAAGGGCATCTTACAATAAAAGCAATTAAAAACAACAAACACACAAAAAGAGACACAGAACATAATGAAAATTACAATGAATAGACCATTTTTTAAAAGATATGTTTTAAAAAAAATCCAAAAAGCACAGCTGATGGGTGTGTGGTGTGCTTGAGGGCAAAGTCTTTTTATATATCAGAAAATTCATGACAAGTTATCAACATTTTAATTTACTACTTAAAGGTGCGCTGTGTAAATTTTCTGGTCGAGGGTCTGCCATCTGCTTGTTTCCATGGACATGCTGTTGCTTTGTCTGGAATGTCCCGGTATGGCATTAAACATATCCATCTTGCACTTACTCGATAACATGGGTTTTTACTTACTTGAAAACTTGCATTCTTATTGTGTGTGGGCTCACCTCTCCACAGATTTGACAATTGCCACATTTACATGGGAGCTTTAATTCAGATTAAAAGTAATTTAATTTGGAATAAAAAATTATTCCGCTTCAAAAAGATCATGTAAACACTTAATTCCTAATGATTATTCGGAATAAAATTTATTCGGAATAAAACTTAAATCTGAATTAAATGGGTGGTTCATTCCAATTTTAAAACCAAATACATTTATTCTGCAATCATGTAAACATTTATTCCTCTTAAAAAATTATTCCAGTCATTCAGCGGTTGGTTATACCTTGTTCTGAGTGGTCCGTCCTTCGTGCATTTGGTTCTCAAGCTCTTCTCAGGCACCAGTAGCAGCTAAAGTGTGTGTTTTCTTCTGGTAGACGTAAATACGTTCATTTCCCTGTCTGATCAGAACCCTTCCCGACTCTCAGACGTTGAGCGGAATTAAATAAAGCCGATTTAACATTTTCCATGTAAACCTTCATTTAGAGTGATTATTTCCATGTAAACTCAAAGGATAATAATTGAATTCCGAACTATTTAATTTGGAATAATTAATTCAGAATTTAAAAAAAACATCATGTAAACATAGCCATTGTAACATGACCCTGTAGCTTTACCTGCTGTCTTAGTAGAGATACATAAGTGTAGTGACATACTGTTTCATTTCATTGCAGGTAACATTTCTATGGAGGAAATCTAGGTGCTCTTTTACTCCAAATGTCATCCCATTGTCCACTGGTGTGACTGGAGACATAAGCCTATACACACCATACAGTAAATGAATGGTTGTATATGTCTCTATCTCAGCCCAGACCGGATGGAAGAATTGGCCAGCCCTCTCGTCTCACTGCACAGAGGTCCTGGGTTTGTGGAGTTTCTCTTTCTTGGCGTTTGACACAGTACGCTATTCTTCACGCTTGGTACTTCTGACCAAGACACAAAAGTCTGCAGAGTCCCCAGGCACTGCTTTGTGGTCATAGAGGCACTGAAAGTTTAAGACCAAAATTTTTCATGAAATATCCCTTACTCCCCTTTGGGAACTTGATTTTATTCTTGTAAATAAGTAAATCTTGTTTTTCCTCCAAGGAGGGTACTGTGAAGGCAGCATTTTGTGAGAAAATCTGACTGCTATGTGCTGTCTGCATCTCTGCTGTACCTGATTTTGATTGTCGTACAAACTGTGACAGAACTGGTTCAATTGAAATGCTTTGCAGAGGTCCACAGTTGTTCCTCACTTTCCCAACACATCCTATCATTATAATTATTGACCACAAAGAGTGTCTAAGCACGTTTCACAACTTTCAGACTCCAGAGGGGTATTTTGTCATCACGGTAATGATAACAACAACATAGCAACAGCACAATAAAAAGCTCTCTAATTAGATGCTCATTTTGACCCCAAGAGCTGCTTTTACAATATCTCTGTACTAGGGGAAGTAAAGTTTGTTCAACTACGTGAACAAATATTGCACACAGCCAAGACAAAGCAAGGTTCTAGCCAAAATATACTAAAATATATTGAGTTTTATTTGTCACATGTGTCCTTGCTGTCAGTAGGCTTGCATCTCCACAAACGTCACTCTTATTTGGCCTTGAAATGAGCCTCTTAATGACTTACAGTTAAACTTTTTATTTCCATAGAACCATGCAGGTGATGTGCTACCTCCAGAAAGTTACACCCTTTAAGTATTTTATTTATAACAGTGGTTTTCAATAGGTGAGGCCTGCCTCCCCTGGGGGCGCCAAAGAAGCACTGGGGAGGCAGACTCACGCGGACTAAACCAGGGCTGTGTCCCAATTCAAAGGGCTGCAGCCTCCGAAGGCTGTGAAGGCTGGGTCCTTCATCGGCCGCTGTTACGGCCCCAGGCCTTAGTTCTAATATTTCTGCAGAGTTCTCTTGATTCCTGCTGTACGAGCCCTAGTCTGTGATTGGTGGGGCAAGTCCACGCCCACCTCACCTGCAGCCACCTCCCCCTATTTAAGGAGATTGCCAGCACCTGTTCGGGGCTGCTGGCCTTGGTGGCCAGTTTGCCATTTTGGTTTTGTGTTTGTGTGTTAGTCTAGTTCTGTTTTGTGCCTTTTTTTTGATTTGGTCACTCGATTCTGTTTGTGGGCTTATGTGGTTTAATTTGGGGAACTTGTGTTTTAGTTTAGTGTGTGTCCCTAAGTTTTACCACTTGTTTTTGTGTAAGCCTGCGTGACCCCTTTTCTGGCACAAAACTCTGTTTATTCTGTTGTTCTGTTTCTTAGTTTAGGTTTTCTGTATTTTTTTAGTGTTTTGTTAATTTACCTTTACATTCCTGTTAATTAAACATTACTTAATTTATTCCATTTTACATCTTGGTTTTATTTTTGTTACTTCCCTCACCCCAAACGAGCTGGGTCGTAACAGCCGCGAAGGCTGCAGCCCTTGAACTGGCCTCCGCGGACGCCAGGCCGTTGTGGAAATGGGACAGATCTAGACCGCTAATGCTAATGCTAACACGCTCCGCGCAGATTACGCACACGGATCAGTAAAAAGAACACGCACAGGTCATCAAACTGTCGGATTTTGTGACCAAATTATTTTAATAATTCGCATCCAAATCTTATGGCCAAAAACGAAAATGTATGTTTAACTTTTGCAAAACAAAACGGCTATATTTAAGGGATACGTCTTAAATAGATTAAATTATCTTAAAATAAAAAAAAAAAAATAAAACTGATGTGATATGCATTACTAAATATTATCATTATTAAGGATTTTTATATTGACCAGGGATTACATTTATATAGTCAGTTTGTAAAGAAAGAAAGACATCTCTCCTGAGAAAAGATGGTTTATTAAACAATCCAAGGAACTTCTGGAAATACTTTATCATAATATGAAGTCAAATATTAAACCCATTACACACACACTGCATTAACAGTTTAGTACAAACAGCTGTATGTCAGTAAATCTCATTGTGTTCCCTCTTTGCTGAAGCAAGTGACAATCAAAAATGAACAAATTATCTTTGCCAGATATGATCATGTGGAATACCACAGCTTATCTGCAGTACAGTAGTACATTCTTATAGTACATGTAATTAGTTACTATCAAAAGAGACACCAAATAAACGGCACATTTCACCATAAATCAAATGCCAGTACAGACTGAAAAACATTCAGAAAAATTTATGAACAGATGTTTTCATTTCTGTCTCACACACTTGTTCAGATCATATGAGACTCTGGACCTCCTCCTCAGAGACTCTGGACATGGACATTGGAGACATGGACAGTGGACTTGGACCACTCAGTCTGATGTATCTCTTGTCTTCTGGAGGAGGAAGAGCAGAGTTCTGTCCTGCAGAGTGAAAACCTTTAATGACACATACACATTAAGAACACTACAAAACTATTAGAGGAAAATAAGTTTCACAGAGCATGCATCCCCAAAGAACACCTGGACTCCACCCGCACTAATGACATTTATTATTATTTATTTATACGCAAGGGAGTGAGAAAAACAATTTTGATTCTTTATATGTTTTTCGTATGAAGAATTGACAATAAACTTTTTTTTAATGTTGAACTTAAACTTTGATGTACATTCAGATTCAAAAGCAGTTTATATCTGAAACAGCTAAATGAATAGAGGAATCCCACACATGTGAGAAATGTGTATTTTCACAATTTAAATCATAATTTCAACATGAGCATGATTCATTTGCAGCTCTTTTTATTAGTAGAGTTTTCAATGTAACATGCCCCATACCTAATTGTTGGCAGGAGTCTGGGTCAGCACCTCCAGCTCAGTGTTGGCTTTACTTTGTCATCTGCATTTGACCCATTTTATGAATCACAAGCATCTTGTCAGCCAACAGTTCTGTGGCCCCTGCAGTGTGCTGTGTCCTCATACTGGAGGCTGCAGATGAGAAAAGAAAAATCATGTAAAACAGATTTCTCATTGTTGTAACATTAGATGTGACAGACCGAACAGACACAGTCAGGTCGTATCTACACCAGTGTCTGCACAAATCTGTTAAACGAGCCTTCATGTCCATCATAAATCTGACCTGTCCAGGCAGAATTATTTACTCTTCACTTTAACAATCCGTGCATGTTTGTAAACGCATATAATGTATTCCCTGAATGAAATGCACACGTTGGAGGCTTATATTATGTGATTTACAAGTAAATATGAGCTTTGATAGAGTCAGACTCTGTCTTTTCAGTTGAATGTAAGAAATAAACAGTAAAAACATGATTAGTGTTTGATAGAAATCTGTCCAAATATGAAAGTTTGAGCGGACTTTTCATCGCATTAGCTGCACATTACTAGGCAAACTTTAGCTCTAAACTCCGCGTATCACGCAGTTAAAAACAAACTTATTTGACAGTTTTGTGGGAGTTATGGTCGTATTTTACGTTTACAGTTGCGTTAGTAATGATTTCCTAAAGTTAAAAATGTTACTCACATGTTTTTCTCCGCTCTCCGGACAGGTTTTTTGCTGCGTGTTTTCGCTCCGTGTTTTCGAACATCTGACTGCCGCCGCGAGGTGCATGCTGGGATACTGAAGGCTGGGAAGAATACTCGAATGTGTCCGCCGTTCGCAGCCCCATCTCCATGGAAACGAGGGCTGCATTTGAAGGCTGCATTACATAAAAAAGAAACGTGACAGGCCTTGTTTCACCAGAAGTGACGTATGCGGCCTTAAAACCAGCCTTAAAACCATGAATTGGGACACAGCCCAGGACTGATCCCAGGACTGAACGAGGAGGACTAAACCAGGACTAAACCAGGAATAAAACATTGCTAAACCAGGACAGAGTGTCGAGACAGGCCCAGAGGTGCGCATAGGTCCATGCCCTACAAAGATAAGTGTAGCCGTCACTAGATCGTGCTTTGCGGACACCCTCCACCGCGGCCTTGCCGCTCTCCTCTCTCTCTTTCAAGTCTAAGATTAATCCTGGTTTAAAACTGGTTTAGACCTGGTTTAGTCCTGGTTTAGTCCTGGTCTAAGGGGAGGCTCACATTCACCCAATTTGAAAACCCCTGATTTATAACAAACCTGAAAGAAAGAAAGAGCCAAATACCATCTGCAAACAGATTTTCCTGATATACCAAAAATTTTGTGAGAGCTATGAACAAGTTAAGATAAATTTAAGTACTTCCTACTTTTGCAGTTTTACCTTGCACTTTTATCGGATTATAATCCAGCTAACAGAGACACCTACTGTGAATGAATTGCATTATTGTTGTATTATCTTCAATCACCTTCAGCAACCTGTTGTGATGTGTATATCAACTACCCCCAAGTCAATATCTTTTGTTAATATGATGCTTGCTTCCCTGTCAACACAAATGCAGCGGCCCCATTGCCTCTCCACTTTCTGAATTGTCAGTAATCAATGCAGAGGATAGATTGCTTTGAGCAGGTAGGAGACTGTCCCACAGGATGGAGCTTTTGAACCAGCAGAGGCCTGAAAGCAAGCCTCCTCACACTATTCTGTGAAAATAGTAGCGATATCGACCCGGAGATACAAGCGGAGAGGCCTTTCAGACTGCAGTCCCATACCTCCCTCAGAAATCTCTTCAAGGGCAGCAGCAAATTATGGATAAAAACGTGAATATGAAAAAGGTAGTCATTGCTTTAAGGATGCTACTGTTTTCGTTTTGGAAGATACAGTGTTGTTGGTGAGAGTACAATAGGCTGAGAAAACAAAAAGAATACAGCAGTTAGGGGGGTCCTTGTTCATGGAATTTGAGCATGACTATACCTTGCTGAGAGGAAAATTGAATTCTATTTTCTTGTTTTTAGATGACTGAAAACACTTGATGCACGATTCTCTGGCAAAACCCCACCCATTCTGAACTGACCAGAGCTGACCAGTCTTTTTAAAAGTATTTAGTTCTAGCAATCCTTTTAAACGCAAGCTAGATATGTTTATATTTGTAAGCACGTGTTATCAAAAGTGATGGCTCAACTAATTTTATTAAAGGTGCACTGTGTAATTTTCCTGATGGAGGGTCTATCACCTGCTTGTCTCCTGATGTTATTGCTGTAATGTTTCATTGTATGGCACTAAACCTATATACTTTGCATCTGTTAAATTACAGTTGTTTGAATTACTTAGAAAACAAGACTATGAAAACATGCATACTAACTGCGTTGGTTCGCCTCTCCACAGATCTGATTTGTGACCTGGGCTGGTAATGTCACCTAGCCTGGTTCATCAGACAGTTTCACTTCGTGGAAACTGACTGACCTCACAGCATTAGAATTTGTTCGCTCAACGGTAGGTGGGTACTTTTTTATTCAACCAATCGCTGCTTTTTGGTTGTGACGTACGTAATGCGCCAAATCCTGTAGGAAGAAGAGCAATAATGTCTTTCCCCTTCATAAGATTAACCAAACATTCTCAAACACATGGTCAAACACAAAAATGCTGACAGTGACAATGACAGTGAAGACACGGACAACATTTGTGTTTGACCATGTTTATTTGTTACACGACATAGCGATATGGCACCTGTTATAGGAGCGTCTGGAACAGCGACCAGATCAAGTGGTTGAGCATGTTCATGCTGGCAGTAAAGAGCAACGTTTGTTACTTCAAACCAGGTCTTGATGGGAAAATGTTCGGGATACATTTGGATTATTTTTCAATGGAGAAATAATATGCCACGATAAAGAAGGTTTAACGTGACAATACAGCTCCGGCAGTTTTGCGTCTCTCTATAGGAGTGAATGGAAGCGAGAGGAGGACACGCCCTCCATGCTTCCAGGTGTGGCCCCGCCTTTTCCAGTTACGCTGATTGCCAGACAATCCGGAACATCGACAGGGGACTCAGCGCTGCGCTGCGCAGCATCCGGCGTCAGTGGGTTAAATCCTCAAACTCGGGAATTGTTGTCAACACAGAATGTATGGCTTTGTCTACATCCATCTCGACCGCTTTGTTAACTGTTGTGCTGTACCACAAAAGGGACCCAGACAGGTGATTGAGTTTGATGTCGCGGCTTCACAGTTTTTCTCTGATTGGCCGGTGTGTGGTCTACAAATTCCAGGGTTCTTGCAAATTGTCTAGTGTATTCCGATTCCTGACCTAATCGCTGGAGTGAAATGAAATTGAGATAGAGATTAATTAAATGCCATATTGCAGAACAAAGTTGTTAAATGTACCATATTGTCCAAGAGGTGACCAATAATGGTGTAGAAGAGGTGGTTAAATCAGCTCTTAAAACTAACCTCCTTACTTTAGCGTTTCACTGTGATTAACGTTGACCTTTTTAGAGGTTTAGAAGTTTATAGTATACTGTATGCAACAAAGATGTCTGTATTATGGGGTGTAATGATATCCAAGTCTCACGATATGATATTGTCACGGTGTGAACCTCACGGTATTTATTGCGATATCATGGGAAAGCTCACGATATGGTTTGGGAGGCTCACAATTAGGGATGTAACAATATCTAAATCTCTCGGGATGATATTTTCACGATATACATCTCACAGTACGATATTTATTGCAATATTTTGTGGAGGCTAAACAGCTAAAACTGTTAATATGCTACTTTTTCCTCTTAAAATGCTTTGACAAGACTTAACCCAAAGAACTAAGACTTAAAAGTGCTTAGTGCTTATTTGTTCATGTAGTCTACATTGAAATGGAGCAAAGGATCATGGTCTATGTAGTTCCCTCTGTCTTTTTTTTTAGCTGTTGCTGCACCATAAATCTTAATTTAAGCCAAGGAGACTTGTAATTCAATACATTATGATGGTTCACGATATTATTGTGAGAACTTTGACAATACAATATCAGGATATTTCGGTTATTCTTACACCCCTACTGTATAATCCCTCAGTTGCATTTATTCAAGGGCTCAGTTCTCCAAATTTAATTCCATCCAAGTAGCTTCGCCATGTCTTATTATTATTAGATAAGTCCATTGAACTACGCTACAACAGTGACTTACAGAATCCTGTCAGAAATGAAGAAGCCTGAAAATGAGTGGTGAACTATGTAACTTTTTGTTTGGGGGTCTGTCACCTGCTTGTTTCTATGGATATGTCATTGGTCTGGCTGGAATGTTCCACTGTATGACTTTAAATAGCTCTACTTTATTCAATTCAATTCTTTTATTGTCATTGCCATATAAAATAACAACAAAATTACTTTAGAACATCACACAAACTGCACTAATAAAACATAAATGCCAGAATCCGAACCTCTAAACCTGTGTAATCCTGCAGTATAAGAAATTGTGCCTCGGTCTGTAGCTCACCAGGTTATTGGAGTAAAATTGTGGAGTTAGGATTGGAGAATTGGAGCCACAAGAAACCCAAAAGTGCTACAGCCTTGTCTTTTTCTCCATTTCTACAGAGACACTGAGGACAACCAGGGCATGGCTTGAGTCCAATCATAGTTGTAGTAGAGAGAGGCTTTCTGTATGGGACTGCAGGTGAAGAAATGCGTGAACGCTCATGTTGTGTGCTGTTTACCTCAGCCATTATCAGCCCACAGACACATTGATTCGAGGGCCCAATCAGACGACTCAAGGAGATTGTTTGTGAGACGCCCTTCTTTGTACACTCCCTGACTCAAAATAGGGCTCATTTTGTAAAGTGGGTAAAGATCTGAATGAGAATTGACACATGAATGGCTGGAGAGTCTAAAAAATACTTTAAGAAGAATATCATGACAGTGCTCAAGGTGAAAAACAAGCTACTTAGGCAAACTATGGCTGAACTATTAAAGTTGCACTATGTAATTTTTCTGGGGTAGGGGGGCCAGATTTGTGGAGACACACTGAGAATATCTGTTTTTCAATTGTTTTTATTTATTTATTTTAAGCATTCCAAGCAAAGCAAGAACAAAAACATAAAGCAGATGGCAGATGCCCTTCAGAAAAGTTACACAGCACATCTTTAGTTAATAGTTTAATATAGTATTGATAGCAAAAGAAAAATTTTATTCTGTCAAGTGAAGTTTTGTTTGTTTGTGTTTTTCAATCAAAAAACTTTTGTTCAGTTCACACAGACGTAAATTTAGTATTATTAGTATTAGCTTTTGCAAAGGACCAGTATATAAGACTTCTTCTACAAGACTTTTTTTTTTAATTATTATTTATTTTTTTTTTGGTAAACCAGTATTCACAATGACTATATATTTGGCTATTTCAATGATGGATGTTGCACAAACAAAAATGCCCCCAAAATAAATAATAATAATTCAAATTGTAACCATGAAAGGGCTTAAAACCTTGACATAAATGGCTCCATCCCATTATAACTCTGCAAGGGGAGTTAAGTTACAGATGGAAGTTTAATTCATATATTATTACGTAACGCTACATTGGGTCACTCTGAATCTGATGATGTTTGCAAAAGTTACAGGAACTTTATGCTTTCAGAATGTCTGCTTCATTAAGAGCTTGTTAAGACCACGCCTTGAGACTTATGTAAATTATTATATCAACTTTAGATCCCATATGTCCTGATGAGTCACTGTCACCTTCTCATATTTGTTGTCAGACCCTAAAGAACATCTT